CAGCTGCAAAGAAGGCTTCCGGTGGTGACGGGGATGAAGATGATGAAGAGTGAAAGCTCAGTAGTACCAGGCAGTTGCATCCTTAGTTTTTCTTTGCTCTCGTAGCAGTGTCTTATATGAACTATTGGTGGTTTTCTGTCCAAGATATTGAGATTAGTCTGTTTTAAGCTTCACAATGATTTCACAATGATTTTCGTACCATTAAGATTTTGTAGTTTTTATCTGACTTTAATTTTTATTATCAACTATATTTTTGTTGGTTTATCATGTTTTACCATCTAAACAAAATATGACACGAGATTATAGTGTAAATCCGGACATGCCTTCCAGGGCCTTGGACTTGGAAAGAATTCAAATACAAATTTTTTTACATAATAGGCATTTTTCGTCTGCTAATAGGGTTGGTTGTTCACTTGTTTGAAGAAGTAAAAAGACTTGGGCGAGAGAGATGAAAACAAAAAATTCATTGATTATATATACGATTTTGTTAGTGGTACGTCACCATGTACATAGGGGTGTACACCTCCCTTACATGTTGGTGAGACTTGCTTGAATAAAAAAATATTTTATTCAAGTGGGTCCAACCTACATATGAGGGGCGTGTACACCCTTATGTACATTTTTTGATGTACACATATAATTATTCTTATATATAATGTTATATGTAGGCGCTGTTTCGTTACATCACCGACACCTAGATTGTTCTCCAGTTGTGGTATTTACAAATAATGTCATTTAAAGATCCCCGGGTCTCGTGGATGACGAGCCAATCAAAATTCAGAGGTGGACTTTGTTTTCGTCACGTGAGATTTTTAGTAGATTTTGGAAAAGTTGATGAAGTGTGGTTAGAAAGTTGATAAAATTTTTGATTGGAAATTAATTTTAAAAAATGGATTTTGAATAATGGAGTCATTGTTTGACTTGGTAAATCTTGTTCAGAAGTGTTTGGAGGATTAATATAAGGATTAAATTATTTATACACACAATTTGTACACTTTGATAGATGCACTCCTATATGTCTAAAATCTGACAATTAATTGAAAAATGTGTTGTCAATGTCAATTTATCAAAATATGTCAATTCATCTTGGATGTAAATCAATGTGTCAATTTAAGGATATGGAGCATGATCCTTATTTTAAACCTCAATTCTTTATACTATTTGTATTTTGAAAGATAGAATTTTGCAACTTTACCAAATAATTTTACCAAAATTAGATTGCCAGAATGAGTTGGCAAATTGTGATCGGATGGTTGGAATTTTTTTTGACTCAATTACCAATGAGGTGTTACCAAGTGTTAATATGTCACAATTCTAGTAAAATCAATATGATAATGTAGCGTAACTCATGGCCAAGCTTGATGTGGGCGCTTGGAATAATTCGAAATGGTCTAAGTAAAGGCCTGCCACATCTATGTTATCTGTACAAACATCTTTATTTCACTATTTATTTATAAGGGAAATTATAAAAAATCAGGAGTTTAAAGTTTACTTTTTAAAAATCAGGTGCAAAGTTTGTTTAATCAAAAATCAGGTAATATATTAAAACATAACCCTAATCCCAAACAAAACCTAAATCATTTCTATTCTATTCCCCATCTTCATTCTCGTCTCCCTCTCTACCCTCTTCCTCACCGCAGCGCCTCCGCCTCTCTCCCTTCCTCAGCAGATAATCGCTGCTGTCCCCAGCAGCGATTCGCTGCTGCTGGGAGCAGCGAAATCGCTGTCGGGAAAGCGCTGATGCGCTTTCCCGACAGCGATTTCGCTGCTCCCAGCAGCAGCGAATCGCTGCTGGGGACAGCAGCGATTATCTGCTGAGGAAGGGAGAGAGGCGGAGGCGCTGCGGTGAGGAAGAG